TTGTGCCTCCTGTTGTTCTAAATACCTCCCTTTTAGGTGGAAAACAGCATTTGAATTCAGAACTGCTCACAGCTGAAATGAAATGCTAATCTCACCCCACGTTTTATTCTTTCCTGTTCTCAGCTGCTCTCTGGGCTCACCATATGCCATAGCTATCGCAGAGTTCCAGGAAAGCATTCCGGTTCCAGAAGAAGCGCAACACTCAGCCTCAAATCCGTTTTTTTTTTATTGAATTGCATCCAACTATGTACGTAATTACACGTGCTGATGTGTGTGTAATGAAGATTACATACAGTTTTAACGGAGTTGTGTGCATTAAATGAGAGCTTGTGTGTGTGTGTGTGCGCACACTGGTGAGTGTGTTTCTGTGGTAATGTTTCTATTACTGGTTTGCCGTCATAAATATTAATGTAAAACATGCTGACCTTAATTTCAATTCTGTCTGCTGGCAAATCTCTCCCCTCTCACCCACTCACTAACTTACTGAGAGGGACAATAGAAGTAGACATGGCCAATGAACCCTCATTATGCTGTTTTTTTTTCTCCAGGTGGAAGGATTGTTGAATGAATGGATGAGTATATGAATAAATAGATGATGTAGGTGAATGGGCATAATAGATTTAGGCAATCAAATCAGTAGAAAGCAGATGATGTTTTAATTTCGATGAGATCCTAAAGTGCTGCATGAATGTGAGGGGGGATGGCAAAATTCAGGTGAAAAGTCAAATGAGAGAAGGTGTGTGATTGGCTGACTACCCTGTCAATGCAATAATGGCAGTCTACCATTTTCACAATTGGTCTGTAAATTGGAATGGGTCAAACTGGTGGAAATGGACAAAATAATAACTCCAAACAACTAAACTAAACAACCTAGAGCCACTTTAGGTAGGAACTGGAATCTGTGAGTAAGATATTTTTAGTGAACAAGCAGCTCAGGTAAATTAAAGGTGTACCTATGTGCCTGTTATGTTTGCCTGTTAATAAAAATAAAGTGACTATTAATAATAGGTAAAAGAAAAAAGAAAGAAAGATCAGCAGTATCAAATAAGATCTATATAAAACATGCAGTTTACTTTCTTTAAACCAATGTAAAAAATATGTTGATGTTGTTGGTTCTAATACATAGTATTTATTAAAGCCAACTGACATGGAAGTATTTTCACATTGCGTTCCCCATAGCGACCCCTAGAGGACGCAGTTCGAAGTTCCACGAAAGGGAAACACTTTTTGTGTACTTTAAATGAAATTATACTGATCAAAATAGACTATTATTATATTGTTTGCTTGAGTGTAAAATAAATGGTGTCCCATAAGCTTTCAACTAAGAAACCACATAATTATTTAAAAAATAATAATAACAGGAAGGTGAGTTTACTAAAAATCCCAAACACAGTAAAGGGACTTTGCTTCCTCATTTCAGAAGATCACGACTTGCTTCTGAGTTGTTCCAACTGTATCATGCGCTGAAGTTGATCTAAAGAAACTTCTAAAGCATACTGGGAATCTTCACAGGATGTAACCATGGGGTGGAACAGACTTTCCACTTCCACATCTAATTGCTGAGAGTGTTTGTCTATTCTCAAATTAAAGTTTTCTGTTGGCTCCGTTCACAGCCATACAAAGTGTTATTCATCTGAACACTCTTATGAACAGACTAACAGTCTGTCTGTTTGTTTGTTTATATATCCGGAATAAAAATTTACCCCCAACCTATTGACTGCATCCCATAAGCATCTCAAGAGTATAGGAACCATAGAACTGTACCTTCCTCTCTGCGTGTATATATGTGTGAGTGTGCACGCGTGTGTTCAGGTTTCAAAATGATATCTTCTGCATGCTCAGATGCTCCTGAGCGGGTGGCGACACCTCCAGAGGAAGCTGATTGACAGCTTGGCAGTGATAGCAGGAGTGATTCAGGAGTAGAGAAAGTGAGGGGGAGCAAATGGAAAGAGAAAGACTAAAATGATCTGTATAGGTGAGAACTGTGTGGATTCGTATCTTACAGTTAGACCTGAGTCTGAAGGTTTTGGAATGAGTGAAGTCTTGTGTGATTCTATCTGAATCTAAAACTCAATAAACAAAACATGGTTTGCATGGTGCACTAATTTATTCCTTTTTTCCTTTGTGTTTCAGGAACCAAACAGTTGAAACTACATTTTAAAGATTTTAAATAAAATTATGATGTAAATGAGGTAGTTTATGCATCCTGGTGTATGGAATGTTTTAGGGAAAAAAACATCCCTAAAATCTCTTTATCCAAAGATTTGAAAGGTTCAGATTTTGACTATATATGGAAACTTCTAGAGGTTCCAAATATGATGCGAGTTATAGAACTCTTTAAAATTCTGTAGAACCATTTCTTCTGTAAAATATGGTGATTCAATGTAAAAAGGGTGTTTGATTTTACATTCTCTCTGCTGTTGGATAAAAAGAGCTTGTTCTGTTGTCCTTACATTTGTTTGAACAACTGTTTGACAAAAGTAAAATCGCAGGGGACATACGTGCCTGCATCGTGGTCCAATCCCACACCACGCCATGATAAGTGGTCCTCTGTAATGGAGAAAGCACACTCTTCTTGGCGTTTAGTCTCAACCCCAGCTCTCTCATGTGGGCGAGAACGACATCTCGATGTCGAACCACCATCTGCTCTGACTGAGCTAAAATCAACCAATCGTCGATATAGTTTAGTATGCGGATGCCCTGGAGTCGCAACGAAGCCAGGGCTATATCCACACACTTCGTGAAAGTGCGGGGTGAGAGTGCAAGGCCGAAAGGAAGAACAAGATATTGGTACGCTTTGCCCCCGAAAGCAAACCTCAGGAACTTCCTGTGAGTGGGAAGGATGGATACATGGAAGTATGCGTCCTTTAGATCGACCGTGACAAACCAGTCCTCGGACCTGATCTGAGACATGACTTGCTTGAGAGTAAGCATCCTGAACTTCAGTCGCTTGACTGAGCGGTTCATATGATGTAGATATAAAATGGGACGCAACCCCCCATCCTTCTTCGGAACTATGAAGTACCGGCTGTAGAACCCAGACTGCCTTGCATGAGGAGGGACCACCTCGATGGCCTCCTTCCTCAAAAGAGTGACTACTTCTTGTTCCATGACCAGAGCCTGCTCGGGGCCCACCAGTGTGGGCGTCCCCTCTCTACAGTGTGCAGGACCCACTGAGACACATTTGGCAGTAGTTTCTACGCTGCCAAAAAGTCTACTATGGGAATCAGTCTCTCGAGACTGATCTCTGGTGTAATGCGTGCAGCCAGGTTGGTGCCCTGTAACGGCGAACCGGCAGGGAACACCGAAACCTGCTGTTCTAGAGACCTCTGAGGAGGTGGCGAGCCTCTTAGCACCGCTACGTTTCCGGGCGGTAACTGAGAGGGGTGCTCGCGGGAGACCGCTGTGCCCTGTAACTCCGGCAGGGTTAGCAGACCGATCTCCTGAGGGCACTGAGGCGAGACGGACACCGTGTAATGCGGTGTAACCCGCTGCACCCCAGAGGGGACTGCCCTCATGAGTCCTGGGCCAGTGGCGTCAGGACTTTTTGGCCGAGGACCTCTTAGTCTTAAGTACGGTCCGCAGATCCGGCTTAGACTTCGAGGCCCCCGACCTAGAGCGTCGCCTCGACCCACTGTCACGACACGGGGGAGTAGGTGAGGCCACGCTCTGTTTTTCTGTTTTTGTGCATTGCTGACCACCTCAACCTCCTCAGAGGAAGAGAGGTAAACACCTGCTCTCACTCGAGAAAATTAATTTATTTTTTTCGAAGTGCCTCTGTGTGAGGCAGTAACATACGCTACCAAAACGGCCGTCAGCTCCCCTTTTTTTTCGAGAGCTGACTCTGCGTGCTTGCTCTCAAGCAGACAACAAACAAGCTGTGTGTATCCCCACCCGTAAAGTAACGCGGGCAGGGAAGAACACACAGCCTGAACGCTGCCTGCCCTCGCTTTCCTTAGTGTCTGGTTTTGCCTTGCTTTAGATTTCGTGACAGACAACAATAAATAAGACTCACAAACAGATATCAGACTGACACACACACAGAGCGCTTGCTGAATGACAAAAGCTGACGCTGGTCTCACCGCACGTGCTTTTATAGCTTCCTGGTCATTACGTCACCCACCGTGACGTCTCGCCCATCTATTGGTCTGATTACACACGAGGTTCAGAGCCCGTCACGCTGAAGGGCGTTCCTCTAGCGTTTCCGATGCAGCTCGAGTTCCTGAAGAGGAATGTAATTTATACTCTTAAAGATCCAATAATATCCTTTTGATGAGAAATTGTAGTATTTGTTAAGCTCATTGAGATGCAGTGGATTAATTGCCTTGGATTTGTGTTTTAAGTGCTACTAGACAGCGGTGTGTGCAGCATAAGCCTATAAACGCAGAATCCATTAACACATTGAAACAAACAAAACAAAACGCAATCTGTTTTTCAACTAATAGAGTTTTCAGAGAGGAGTAAGAGGAGCTGTTTTACTCTGATAAATGGCTCATGTGCAACACTATACATCAACACTAATTATATAGAAAAAAATGTAGGCTAAATTAATTAACATTCAATGAGAATTTACTTTGTAAACCGATGAAATGAACCTGTCACCATTACAAAAAGTAACTCATGCTTCATTTGCCACGAGAATTCAGCTCAGTTAAATGCAAAAACAAGAACTGAATAAATATTTTTGACTTTGAGAGAGAGATAAGAGTTCAAGTTTTACTTTTACCAGTTTTATCCAGTTTTGGAAATGAGAAAAGATAGAGACAGGATTCAAGAGCATTCTAAACACAGTGATGTGCGTCAGTGGGTGGAAATAATGAATGCAACTCAACTCTGTCTTCACACAACTAAAGTTTTCTATTGAAACAAAGTCTTAAAAAAGATTGGAGTATCTCTCTGAACCCTTGTGTTTCCAAATACTTCAAGTTCTCACTGTAAATTTGACTGTAATGTATGTGAAACTCTGAAACACATGATGCTGTGCTTATTGTCTTTCTCAGGTGCCAAAGAGGTGAATACCAGTGGCAAGACTTTTACAGTGAAGAGCTCCCTTCAGCTCCTGGTGAACCGGCATGATGACGGTGTGGCCTACACTTGTAGAGTGGACCATGTGGCCCTAATTGCCACCCACGAAGAGACCACACAGGTCTTGGAGGTCCACTGTGAGTACAGCTGGGTCCCGACTCAAACCAACATCCCATGATGGTTAGAACCATAAACCTAAATCCACAAATGTGAAACTGCTTGAAGTCTTTTACAAAGTAATGAGTTTAAAAAGTAAGGAAACACTTTGTAAACTTTTTAATTTTGAAACTCTCATTCATTATACCAACCAACCAATCAATCAATCAATTGCTAGCTTAAGACATGGAAAACTCTGCTCCCCATCATTAGAATATGGAAAAAACGTTTACTGTACTGACCACACTGCAAAAAATCGATCAATCAAACAATCAATCCATCAGTATTTTTGTCTTGCTTTCCAGTGAAAATGTGTAAAAATACTTCAATCAAGATACATTTACTTGTGAAGCAAAATGGCCTAAGATAAAAAAAAAAGTCTTGTTTTCTGAGAAACCGATCAAAATGACTAAAGCCACAAAACACATAATTTTGATTTCATTGGGTTTTCAATGACATATTAAACTTACTATGAAAAGTAATTTTGGCAACTTTTAAATCCTGAAATTTGGTGTTTTGATGCAAAGATTATGCAATAATTACAGACAAAAATCATTAGAGTTTCTCTTTGAAGTGTTGACATTTAATCAATCTACTGAGATGCAGTGGAGCACTTGGGCCTGAGCAACACGTCACATAATTTATCTTTTGATCTCCGTGGAGTGTCATTCCTCCACTTGGATGCTGCTGTCTGAAACAATATTTCTTTGTTCGTCTCTGTGTCTCTGTCATAGATGCTCCCTATGTAGAGATCAAACACTCCATACCAGCCCCATTGGAGGGGCAGTACCTCAAACTGGAATGTGTACCTCATGGAAACCCCTCGTAAGCATTCACAATTTATCAGCATCTTGTTGAATTATAATGTTTGCAAAGAGCTTTGGGAAGATGCGTTGCATATCTACTGCACCAAGGAGAAATTGCCCTGTGGGCAGGCCTGCGGCTAGCAGCTTATAACCACATGCTTGCATTAATGACTCATAAATGTGATTCTGTTGAAATTAAACAGCTATGAATATATAACCATAAATTCACACTGAAAAAAACATTATGAAGCTCTTAGCCGTTGGTACAACTGAAGCTAAAATAAGGCCAGTGTGTTCTAATATTCCCAAAGAAAAAGGCTGACAAATCTTTGATAAACTTGGATAATCCAAATTGCTTAGTTTAAAGCTAAAGTTGAAAACTTTACAACTCTCTCAGTGAATTTTGCTTTCTCAAAGCCTTTGCTCTGAGATCTTTTATGAAAAGTCTTGTATAGGAAAACATACTGTAACTTTCAAAACTCAAACGCTTCAGAACATTTCGCTGTAAAAAAGATTATCGGTTGACACTTAAGCTGCAAAAATGGCTTATTTTGTATTTCCATAATATTCCAATATCATATGAATACATCTGAATTCATGCAAACAAATTATCCCTCATTTATGTCAACAATGCCTTTTCAGTGTACAGATACTCTGTCTACCCAGTCACAGTGATGTAATAGTGAGGAAGCAAAACCAAGGCTGCCAAACCTTGTGTTGTTACTGGCTGTGTGTTGCACCTACAACTCTGCATATCATTGTGCTGCAGTAAATGTGCCGAAGATTATTACTGAAGAATGGGATATTTAAAAACTAAACTAAATAATAATCATAAAAATAAATAAATAAAAATAAACCTAATTATTAAAAACGTTTGTGATATGACCTTTTAACGCATGTTCCATAATGGAAAATAAACTGAATTTTGTTTTTAATTAGAAGTTAAAAATCAATGTTTCATCAGGCCAGACCCAGTACTCTGGACTAAAGATGGAGGAGAGCTGCCAGACCTGGACCGGGTGATTGTCGAAGGAAGAGAGCTCACCTTCATGTCACTGAACAAAACAGATAACGGCACCTACCGCTGTGAAGCTACCAATCACCTCGGCACCAGCCACGCTGAATATAAGCTGGTTGTTAAAGGTGAGTGACAGACAGATTGCATTAACCTGTCTGTTAAAGCTAACACAGCTCTTGCTGCTGTCTTGGAAAGCATCTGCATTGCTAATTAAACCTACGTTTCTACCCTGCTAATAAATGTTGTTTTATTTGAACCCCTTTGAAAGATGAAATGCCTTGAAATGATTGCTGGCCTGATAGATTAAAAAAAATATCGAGCTTAAACGATTAATTCAGCCAAAAATGGAAATTCCGTCATCCTTTACTCACCCTCATGTTCTTCCAAACTAGTATGACTTCATTTATTTTGCAAATCACAAAACAAAACATTTTCAAGAATGGCAACTGTTTGGAAACCCAAACTTTCAAACTTTATTTTGTAACACCATATTTGTTGTAGTATTTCTATAAGCGACCAGTGTTTCAATTTGATTTGAGAGTGAATAAAGGCTTAAATTTCAATCTGTTCATCATAGAAAGTAATCACATTTTTTCAGAAGTCTTCATACAAGTTATGGATTAATTAAATTTAATTTATGGAACTCATATTCATAATATTGGCAAAAGTTAGCATTATGTGCTACAGAAGAAGAAAGAAAATCAAATGTGCTTGAAAATAAATGATGACAGAATTTTTACAGATTTTGAAATATTCCTTTAATTTAGTGACAATTTTACAAAGACATATAATCACCTGTGCATCATAAATCTTGCACAAACAATGTGTACATATGCAGCAACCCATTTTTCTTCTCTGATTTCATTTAAGAGAATGAGTTTCACCCACTTAGCATAACAGCAAAGCATGATGGGTTTAGAGGCTACACTGCGTCCACATCTGCCATCTCTTTCATCAGAGGCAGCTGTGTGGATACGCTCACAGGCTAAGAATGGATATGTGGGCATCAAGCGGAAGAGTCCCCCCCCCCCC